AAAAAAAAAAAAAAAAAAGTACCAAATTCCAGATTAGATTGTAACTAGGCAGATATTATGTGGAAAAAATCGATATGATAATAGCCTATAGCCTATAGATATCCAAAAGATAAATTAGGGTATCTCAATTTGGGACTTTAGTTAAACAAAATACAATAGGGAGATCAAAGATTAAGATAGAAACAATACTATCGGATGGATCGTGCATTGGATTGTGTGATACAATAGTCGTCGGTTAGTTTCTTTTACCAGCCAATTGTTGTAATTAAAAATAAAATGTATAGTATTTACATCTTGTAAGAATATTGGTTTGGCATCGTCCGACAAACCATAGTGTTTTCTTGAAGATTGATGTATATTGAGTTAGATTTGTTCTTAATTTGTTTTATTATTTAGTGTAGAGACATACATGGAAAGGATATGAACACGACTAAGGGATATGGACGTGGGTTGGACATAGACGGAAGGAGAATCACCTAGGTATGGACCAACTAGAACAAGATCAGCCGAATCTCACAATTACGGAAAGTAGTATTTTTACATGACCTTAGACCTTCCAAATTAAAAACGATTCTGGAGTCTTGAAAACTCATCAATGAAGATTCTGACTTTGGACCTTCCAATTGAAGGAAACTTACCAACAAGGAAGATTTTGAAGATATACATCTAAAGGAGGACACTTATATATTCATAAGTCTTCATCATTGTACTGTAACATTTTGAGAGGGAGAGCTCGTATTGATATGAGAACTTTGGGAGTTTTGACTTTTGAGAGTTCATATTTCATTGTATTCCATAAATCTAGCCGAGCTTTCAGTTCATGTTCTTACGGGCGAAAAGTTAAACACTTTTATTTTATCAGTTTTTTTTTCTCACGGCACTTGGGAGAAGTGTTTGTGTGCCTATAAAAGTAGAGTGTATGGACAATAGGATTAGAAAGGATTTATAGTCTCGTATTCTATACTACGTTACGTGTGCGTGACTATTTACTAGTGAAAGATTTCTAGAATCATGATTCTTCCTAAATACAAATTTGTTTAAATCGCTTCCATGGTATATTTTGTGTTGCTACATAAATTCGTACTCTCGCACTCCTCGCACACTTCATGCACCATTTTCACTCTTCTCATTTTCCACGTGAGAATGAACGAATTGTCGTGTCCATAAATAAATCTAATGGTCTAGTTCTAAATGTCTATTATACGTGACTTTTTTTTACCATTTTATCTAATAAATAGTAAAAAAACTTACATCGATGAAATGTCCAACAAACTTTAATAAAATGTAGCAATATTCATAAGATTTTCAACAATATATCATTGCACAACCAATTTTATTCGCATCTTACAACCTACAAGCTCGATTCACATTGTTTATAATCGATGTGATATACTAACCATATGTCGTTTATTCTTTATAGAAAGTGAAGATGAATTATTTGTTTATAAGGAATTTATGTCTCGTTTCACAATAGATGAGTCTACTAATCACTTAATACCACCAAAATGAGGAACACATATATATAAATCAATTTCGATATCATCATTCGGTAACAATATTTTGTAGATCTTAGTCGATCTCTAACTAATTCAATTTATAAGTTTGGACACAATCAGGACAAATTATGGTTAATACGAACTATTTTTGAATGTCACATCTATTATATATATATCATAATTTTTAGATGTGACGATTCGTTGTACAATATTAGTCAAAATAAATATTTATATAATCAAATATCTTAATTATTTCTACATATTTTTAAGCTATTTTTAAATTTATTTTATTATAACTTATTATCTATATAAAAAAAACGTGCCAATCAAATATAGTTTAAAATGATTTTTTTTTTTTTCCAAAACGATAGATAATACTATAAATCAAAATGCACAAATGTGCAGTTTAAAACGATTTACTGTAACATAATTTTGTGATTTACTACCGATTATCTATAACGCCTTGTACTTCTGAATCACAGCAGAACAGAAATGTCAGAACAAGGGCACTTTCGTAATACCACCATACGAAACTGCCCTTTATTAAGCTGCGTCCCCCCCACAAATCAGAAACCCCCAGACAGACGCCCTTCATCACGCGCCGGCGAGTGAAGAACCCATCGCCACGCGCCGACGAATATTCTTCACTCTCCTAAATCTCATTGATCTGAAAACAAACAAAAACAATGGCCTCCGAGTTGACATTCCGCGGCCACGAGTCCCATCCCGAGTCCGACTCATACTCGCCCAAACCCGCCAAGCCGTGGCTCGGCGTGACCCGCCCGATCCGCTACCTCCTCCGCGAGCAGCGCCTCATCTTCCTCCTCGCCGGCATTTCCATCGCCGCCCTCTTCTTCTCCTCCTCCACCCGGCCCCATCCCACCCCCATCCTGGGCTACCCGCTCGACACGCCAGAGTTGACCCGGTCCCATCCCCACCGATCCGCATACCAAAACACCCACCTCTCGACCGGGTTCGGGATCGGCTCGGTCGGCAAGATCCCGCTGGGTCTGAAGCGCAAGGGGCTGCGGATCGTGGTCACCGGCGGCGCCGGTTTCGTCGGCAGCCACCTGGTCGACCGGCTGATGGCCAGAGGCGACAGCGTGATTGTGGTTGACAATTTTTTCACGGGGAGGAAGGAAAACGTGGCGCACCATTTCGGAAATCCGAGGTTTGAGCTGATCCGACACGACGTCGTTGAGCCTCTGCTGCTCGAGGTCGACCAGATCTACCACCTCGCTTGCCCTGCCTCGCCGGTTCATTACAAACACAATCCCGTTAAAACTATCATATCCTTTTATTATTTATTATTATTATTATTATTATTATTATTATTATTATTATTATTATTATTATTATTATTATTATTATTATTATTATTATTATTATTATCTTTGAATCGATGTA